TTTACTTCTTTCGTCAACTTGATCGATGGTCATGGAGAGAGCTTCGACGAGCACATTGATAGGAATGTACAAAGCATTACTACCATCAGCTGTTTGACGATCGTGATTGTGATAGGTCGCAACTCTGCATGTGATAATGAGCTTTTGAATGTGTTGATTTATTTCCTTTTAATTCCGTTATAATCGCTTATCTTTTGACAGATGCGTGTATTTTGTCTACTACTTGCAGACTAGATGCAGTGGTGTTGAGTACTTGGCACTAATGAAGTCTGCAACTAGTAGACGAAATGCGCGTGTTGGAGACAGTTTGTTGATGAAGTGGATTAAAATTTGTAAGTTTATACATTAAGTTTGTTAAAAGTTATCTAATCACTAAATCAAACTTACAGCTAAAAGCATTCTCACTCAAAACTTGAGTTTGCTAACGGAAGATCCGAAAATTCACCGAAGTTTACATTGCCGTCAGCAACAAACTTTTAGAAATTTTACCGACACCATTTGGAGGTTAGCCGGCTCCAGTATCAGTCTGTCGGAAGCGATACGATTCGCCGTTGCAAGATGTCCACTCTCAGACCAGGGTCAAAACGTCTGAGAGTCGTTGAGAGGGTCTCAGAAGAGGAGGCGACCATCGAATCTCACTGCCCCGACTGCAATCGACCTGATAATGCGGAAGTACAGGAGTACGCAAGAGCATTGCGTGCATTGAGAGCAGAAGCAAAGCCATGCAGGAGAAGATGGAGCGGAAGTTAGATTTCATCAGAAGGAAGTATTCATCTTTGGTATGATCTTCTGAAGAACGAGCTGAATGAAGGTGAGAATGGTAGTGTGAAAAGTTATCGAAGCCAACGAAGTGCATCTAGCACAGTCCATAAGTGGTTGGAAGCCCAGCGTGAGGCGCTCTTGACAAGTTCCGGGAACAAAAATGCCCCAACTTCCTCAAGGTCTCGAACCGGAGCCATCCCAAAAGCGACTACCGTAACGAAGCCAGTGGACGGCAACGTTCAACCAATCATCAATCAAGCCAACACTCAAGTCTCGCAAGCACAATCTAGTTAGGATTATCCCCTCAATGTGATATCTCCGCCCACCTCACAACAGCTGGCAAATGCGAGAGCCAACCAGGGAATTACATCGGAAGTAGGAACACGTACCAATGAGCTCGAACAGCGGGTTCGAGATCTGCAGCATCAACTAGACAGTCTTCGCCTACAGTCAGCGCTGCAGCTACCGACAGAAGTTTATCGATGTCCAACTAGTCAGCAACAGTTCCAGCAGCCCTCAGCGATTGGAAATAGTGCTGCTCTACCGAACAGGTTGGGAAGTATTCCGGCGTGCGAAGGTATGTTCAAACGACCCATAGTTTTATTCCCTTCGTCTCTCAAATGCCTCCCGTGGGCGTACAATAGGCATGGAGAACCATTTGTCCAACCCTACTCCGCTGCAAGAGTTGGTTGGAAAGCTCCCGGCAGGAATTAAGCTGGATTCATGTCTACATGTCTACAATTGCGTCAGCTGCTAGCAGCGTAACGTTCAGCACCGAGGTCATCCAGAAACAGGAGAAGCAGAAGAGCAAAGAAAAGGGCTACGTCAACGCACATGCGGAAGACATCCGAAAGAACGCAGATCAGGAGTATTGGAAGTCTTGTGAGATTAGCAAGGAGAAACAGCCGGTTCAACCCAAACCGTGCTCCGTGTGTCAAAAGCTTGGTCATAATATTAGAGACTGCAATGCCTTCAAGAGTCGCAACATCGAAGGACGTTGGAAGCTGGTCCAGCAATATCATCTCTGCAGACGGTGCTTGATTTCCCATGGAGAGTGGCCGTGCAAGGTGTCAGGGTGCGGTATACAAGGGTGCGAGCTTCGACACCATACTTTGCTACACCCAGGGCAACCTGAGGGCACACCGATGACATCTGCCCAACCATCTGGAACATCTGCACCTGCAACCGGAAATGTGAATGTCCATCGACAAAAGCCACGTATTACTCTTTTCCGCATCCTACCCTTGACTTTATACGGCAAGGATTCATCAGTCGAAGTATTAGCTATTAGCCTTTCTAGATGACGGGTCGTCGCTCACTTTGGTGGAGAAGGAAGTTGCGGACCAGCTCGGTATGGAAGGGGAACTGGAGCCACTTTGTCTACAATGGACAGGAAACGTAACGCGAATGGAGTCGGAGTCAAGGGTCATCCAACTCGGCATATCTGGAACGGATAGTAGCAAGCGTCATACTCTCGAGTGCGTGCGTACGGTTGATCGTTTGGATCTTCCTCCGCAGTCTTTGCAATTCAATCAACTGGTTCAACTGTTTCCTTACCTTCGGGGTCTTCCGGTTAAAAGTTATAACGGAGCCACCCCTCGCATCCTTTTTGGTTTGGAGAACACGGAGCTACTAGTCACGTCTTCTGCACATCTGTTCTGGTTCCAATGATCGGGAACTACACGACGCTGTCAAGGAGTTTTCCTCGATCGAAAACACTGGTGTAGTGGCTGCGCCAGCGGTAGAAGCAGAAGATGTCCGACGGGCACGGGAGATCATGCAACGGACCACGGTTCACACAGCTTCCGGAAGGTTTGAGACGGCTTTGCTGTGACGCTATGATTATAGCGAATTTCCGAACCGTAGACCGATGGCAGAGCGGCGTCTTAAGTGCCTAGTGCGAAGACTGGAAAAATCACCTGAACTCTACGAAAATGTCAGCCAGCAGATTGCTTCCTACGAGTCCAAAGGATACGCTCATCGAGCATCGGCGGAAGAGTTGGACAATTTTGACCCTTGAAGAACGTGGTATCTTCCCCTCGGAGTGGTTATTAATCCAAACAAGCCGGGAAAAATTCGAGTGGTTTGGGATGCTGCGGCAAAGGTGGATGAAGTCTCGTATAACTCCATGCTTCTGAAGTGACCGGACCTGCTCGCGTCTCTTCCTGCGGTTTTACAGCGTTTGCGTCAACGGCAGATAGCAGTAACGGGTGATATCAGATAAATGTTTCACCAGCTCCTGATTCGCTCGGAAGATCGTCAAAGTCAGCTTTTCCTGTGGTACGACAGTCCGTCTGGCGAAATCCACGTCTTTGTCATGGACTTAGCGACGTTTGGGTCGACATGCTCACCGTTCTCTTCCCAATACGTCTAGAATCTGAATGCAGAAGAATGGAGGTGCGAGTTCCCGGAAGCTGTAGATGCGATCGTACATAACCACTACGTGGACGATTATCTCGACAGCAGGGATTCTGTGGAGAAAGCGATGATTGCAACAGCAGTAAAAGAGGTCCATGCGAAAGCCGGATTTGAAATCCGTAATTGGCTATCGAACTCGGATGAGGTTGTGCGACGGGTCGAGGACGGCAGCGTTGCAGATCTTGCCAATAGCTTTGCAGTAGACGAAAACAATGGTACGGAAAGAGTTCTGGGAATGTTGTGGCAGCCTTCCAGTGACGTTTTCAACGCTGGAGATAGAATCAAAACATTCTAGTTCATTTGGTGAAATGCTAGTACAATCCAGTAGTAGCATAGAGGTAACTCTAAGACCAGAAGGTCCCGAAGAAACGGGCTCAACTTTTTGGCTCAGATCTGGTACTATCTTCGGTCCCAAGCTAATCGATGCACCCCTCGAAACATAGGAAAATCCACGAACCCCTCATTTTATCTGTCAAACTTTCATAGCGAATCATAACAAACATAGTGTAGTACTGGAATTTATACTAGAATGGGGTACGTATTCGATTTGCTTGGGACCAATAGGCTAGTCAAGTAGTGAGCCAATTTAAAATTGTTAGTTTCGTATTGATCGTTGGTAGTAGCACAAACGAAGTTACAGACGACTAACTGGCGAAGAAATCCATTAAAATAATGTGGTTCACTGTAATAGAATTTCCTTGGAAGCTTGTGCCACCATACACCAGATGGGTTAGTTTTTTTGTTTTGATTTGAACAAAGTTGATTTTGTGTACAATGATTCTTTGACAGAGTGCGTATCATTTTGTCATTTTTTTATGCATTTCAGTTTTGAGTAGAGTGAATGAGATAGAACCAAAACATTCTAGTACATTTGGTGAAAATGCTAGTTCAATCTAATAGTAGTGTTGCCATGTGGTACAATCCAGTAGTAGTGGTGTTGCCATGTGGTACACTAAAAAATAGCAATAGCAGGTGCGTCACCAAAGTTTTCGAGCTCCGTCTGTCACTTCGTTTGTGCTTGTACTATCGCATTAATGGCCCTTCACTCATTTACAACTTCTATTCACTTTTCATACTGCCGTACTCTAACGGAACTATCTACCTACCCTCTTATAAGACCATTCTCTAGCTAATAAATGATCACACTAAAGCCAAAGATGAATACTAAAGCTAAAGCTAAAGCTTCATGTTAGATAGCATTTCCAACGAACTATTAAAAGTTTTGTTAAATATTAGTTTAAGTTAATGATGTTTTAAAGTTAAGTAAAAGTTGTGATAAAGTTAAATTAAAATTGTGTTAAAGATAAGTTGTACTTAAAGTTACGTTAAGTTAATAAGATAAAGTTTAGTTTAAGTTAAGTTAAAGATATGTAAAAGTTAAGTTAATGATATGTAAGGTTAAATTTTATTTACCGTTACGTTAATGTTACAGCTAAGTTAATTAGTTAAAGATAAAATCAAATTAAGTTAAAAATAAGTCAACGTTTAGTTAAAGTTAGGTTAAAGTTTAGTTAAAGTTAAGTTAATGATATTTTGATGTTAAGTTAAAGTTATGGAAAAAGATAAGTTAATGTTAAGTTAAAGTTATATTAAAATTAATTACAAGTTCAGCAAAGTTAGTAAGTTAAAGCGAAGACAACAAATCAAGAAGCTCTTGAACCAAAAATAAACACTCGCCATCCAAGGGAAATCCTAAATCAACCACCACTTTACATTTTCTGGGGCACAAATCTCACAATAAGTTGTGAGCCCGAGAAAATGCGAGCTGTTAGTATAAACCAAGCCATCAAATATCACCCAACTCCACTTCCCTCTTCCAGCCCTGCGGCGAGGGAACCAACCGCACATCCTGCACCAACCGCGACCAGCTTGACCAAATCCCGTGGCGCCCAATCGACTGCGAAGGCCGCCGCTGTCGGGTAACCCTCTTCATCCGCAATGCTTCCGAAGCGGAGTCCGGCCTGTACCGCTGCAGCATCCACCCCTACCGGACGGACAACCGGACCCAGTTCGATATCCAACTGATTCGAACCTTCCAGCTGGATGTCATCAGTAACCCCAAAAGCTCCCAAAGTCCCCCCACAGAACAAAAAAATGACCTCCAAATCCCTCTGCTTTCAGAATCCCTGCTGGACGAAACCGTGTCCGCCCCGGAGCTGCTGGACAACCTCCCGGCGAACACCACCGCCCTCCTGGACTCGCAGATCGTCCTGCAGTGCCGGGTGTACAGCAAGGCTCAACCCTCGATCAAGTGGTTCCGGCGGATCAACCTCAACAACCCCCCGCTCGAAGATCACAACTTCAACCAGAACAAATCGATCCGCTACCTGGAGAACTTCTACGAGCTGGTACCGTCGTCCGGCGAGAAACCACTCTCCGAGGACGTCTACCTGAGCAAACTGATACTGTACAACGTTTCGGAGAGGGACATCGGCATCTACGTCTGCGTCGGAATCAACTACGGAGGGGTGAACACCGCCGATGCGTACGTCAACGTAGTCCACCCGAATGGGTCCACCGTGGGTAGCGGAACCAGTGTGGCAGATTTGATGGTTCTCTTTCTAATTCCACTCGGTTTGGCGTTGATTCCGCTTATGGTGTGGATTTGCTTCGTGGTGACGAGGCGATGCAACAGAACCGGGACGGAGACGAAGCCGATCGTGGTGGAGACGAAGACCATCGCCGGAACGAGGATGGTTCACCATCTTCAACAGCAGCAGCAGCAGCAGCAAACTAGGCAGCCTTCGAGTGTGAGGAACGCCAGCGGTGGATTTAAGGAGAAACACAAACGGAATCTTAGCTACGAAGGTTCGCATTTGTACGAGAAGATCAATGTAGTGTAGGACTGCTGGGAGGTTAGGTTAATCATACGATTGATAAATGTGGTGCCAAAGTGATATTTATTTTTTCTTGTAAATAGTAGATGTACATAAAGGAAATAAATTGATTATTTATTAAAATTTGCAACTTCAAAATCCTCAACAAGCCCTAATCGCGATTGTCTCCGTAAATATGGCCTAAATCCGAGCTATGGTAGCACTGTGAAAACCATCTAGAATCATTAGAGTGGAGTGCCTGTTGAATTCGAGGTTGAATTATGAAATCATTAGACGTTGTAATGATAATTGGGTTGTTTAACTTCGAAAAATATAACGATTTTTATACATCATCTGATAGACCTTCGTTTTCTGAGCACAACAATATTTTTATCGATCCCGTAGACATTCATTTCGATTTTGAAATCAAGATTTAAATTTTTAATCGATGAAACTAAATTTATTCGTTGGCAGCTCGCTCCCATACAAAGTCCCACTTGGTACTAACTTCGGTCCCAAGCTAATCGATGCAACCCTTCAAAACATAGGAAAATCCACAAACCCCTCATTTTATCTGTCAAATTCTCATAGCGAATCAAAACAAACATAGTGTAGTACTAGACTTTAGACTAGAATGGGGTACGTAAATCGATTTGCTTGGCTAGTCAAGTAGTGAGCCAATTTAAAATCGTTAGTTTCCACCGGTAGATACAACGGTGCACCCCTCTATCATACACCGTTTCTAGCGCAAGATCGCGCACTTCTAAATTCTACCTTGTTTTCGATACTCTTTGAACTTTATTAATGTCAATAATCGAACGACACCGCGTCTCCGATTGGCAAATCAAAGTTGGCACTCGTGGAGAATAGAAGAGCTATGAAATGGTTTCAAAATTTTCCACAGGGAGGCATACAAATGCAATCTTAAAATGCTTTTATTTTGCAAATTGAGCATTTTATTTAATTCTGGTTGCTGCTACAGTTGTAGAAAAGCTGAAATCTATGTCTACACCTAAAAATCTGAAAAGAAATTATTTTTCTATATTATGTGTCTATTAAGTAGTCCTTAAGTTTTCTACTAGCGTAGCATTAACCAGAATTAAATAAAATGCTCCATTTGCAAAATAAAGGCATTTTAAGATTGAACTCGTATACCTCACCGTGTAAAATTTTGAAACCATCATCACTTTCATAGTTCATCTATTCTCCACGAGTGCCAACTTTGATTTGCCAATTGTTTCGTGTTTATTCTTGGTGCTTTATTCCTGCCTGCCTCTGGTCTCACAGGCTATGGGCCCAGGTGAAAGTTCCGAGGAAAAAGTGTTTTTTCGGTCGATTTTCGCGCATTCGCCGTGCATTAGTGTGCGTGTGCTTTGCCGGACCGAAAAGTGTGTCTCGTGTGTGAGATGGAAACGTTGAGCAAATTCTCCAAACTCAACAACCAAAACTGACAGTCATGGAAGTTTAGAATGGAGATGCTCCTGATCCGCGAAGAGCGTTGGCATGTCGTCGATGAGCCAAAGCCGGAGCCCGAGACGCCTAACTGGTCAAAGGATGACAAAAAGGCAAGGGCTACCATGGGGCTATGTATAGAGGACAGTTAGTATAGCCTCGTGAAGGTTTCGGATAACGCGAAAGATTTTTGGAAAGCGCTTCGTGATTGTCATGAGAAGGTGAAAGTCACCTCTCGAGTGAGTCTTCTCCAGGAGCTGTACAATTTGAACCTTCTGGAAGGCGGAGACATGGAAGTCCACTTGTTCAAGGTTGAGGAACTTTTCAGTCGGCTGGAGAACGCCGATTTGAAGCTGGAACAACCGATGAAAATTGCGATGATTGCGAGTTTCGTATTGATTGTTGATACAACCAACAATCAGTACGAAAGTAACGATTTTAAATTGGCTCACTACTTGACTAGCCTATTGGTCCCATTCTAGTCAAAATTCTAGTACTACACTATGTTTGTTTTGATTCGCTATGAAAGTTTGACAGATAAAATGATGGGTTAGTGGATTTTCCTATGATTCGAGGGGTGCATCGATTAGCTTGGGACCGAAGATAGTAACAGAGCTGAGCCAAAAAGTTGAGCACGTTTCTTCGGGACCTACTAGTCGTATAGTTACCTCTATGGTACAACCGAACAATGGACAAGCTAGAGGGTAAGTAATTTAGATTATTTGCATAGCTAAGTTTAAGAAAAAAAAAAAACATTAAAAAATTCATAATCAAGGTTTTCATTGTCCGGTGTCTGGCTGCGATGAATTCAGCGACAACCTGATCGAGGTTAAAACTCATGTGAAAAGACTTCATAAGTTAAATATTAAAAAGAAAAATACGGTTCCTTTTATTTGTAAGATCTGTGGTTCAATACTGGCAACTTTTCGGAATTTCGAGCGCCATAGCAGCCAGAAACACAATCTGGGACTAAGTGGGGAGCAGAGGGATGCTACGATGTCTGAATCTGTTCATATGGATGTCGATTCCGAGGTCGATTCATCATATAGTGCTGAAAAGGATGTCACTAATCCCTTTGTCTATCTGCCTCCTTTATCCAAAGAACATATTCTCGATAAAACTTCGCAATCTGTAACAAGATTCCGATGCGATGTGGCATTACCAGAAACAAAGATACAGAGTTTTATCCAGCAATGCACACAAACACTAGACGACTACCAGCAGTATGAAACGTCATAAAGTAATTCTTCAATGAAATGAACATAAAGTTGGATGAAAATGCCGTGAACATGATAAATAGCTTGGAAATATCTCATCCGTTCCAAGGTGTCAAGACTGCGGATCACAACCTAACGTATCTTTGTGGGGTTGCCAAGCAGAGTATTCCAGAGACCAAGGAATATGTACAAGGCCTTCGCAGAGTCCACAAAGTTAAGCGATATCAGGTTTCATGCGGTAAAAATAAAAGAATTATCAAATTAGTTAAGCGATCGAGACAGATAAAAGATGCAATGCATTATATTCCCGTTAAAGATATTCTTAGTCTTGTGATGCAGAATCCCTTGGCACGTGAAATGATTCAGAATGAACACATATCTACAGGTGCTATTTGTGGATTCAAGGATGGAATGCTGTACCGGTCTCACGAATTTTTGAAAAAATTTCCTTCAGCAGTAAGATTGTCGTTACACATTGACGATGTTGAACACTGCAACCCATTAGGGTCACGCAAGGGGAAACAAAAATTAACAACTTTAAGTTTTAAAGTACAAAATTTTGATGACCGAGTTAATTCTACCATGGACCGTGTGTATACTGTCCTGGTAGTAAGATCACAACTGCTTAAAAAGTATGGTTTCCAGCAAATTCTTCGTCCGCTTTTGGAGGATTTGTTGGTTTTGGAATCGGATCATGGAGTCACACTGCGATTGTCCGAGCAGTTCCAGATAGACTTTTGTGAATTGATTGCTGATTTGCTTATGATAAGTTTCTACTCTTTTTCCACTGTGCTGACACACGACATGGTTGAACATGTCGATTCAGTAATTAAAAGCTTCTTTTTGAATTTAAAACGTTGTTTCCCAAATAAACACACAATCAATAAGGTACACCATATATCGCATTATCCTGCAGTAATTAATCAAAGCCAAAATGAGTTGCATGCAATTTGAAGCAAAATTCAAGATCTCCAAATCCCAATCCAAAACCTGCAATAATTTTCGTAATCTTACCTACAGTTTGATGAAACGTATGAACTTGAAACAGGTTAATGCTATAATCAATCATAATTATCATGTCGATGAATTATCGATTTTATCTTCTATAACCGTACAAAAGGAAACATTTGATTTCAAAATTCTGCTATTTGATTTCCCGCAATTAGTTGAAAGCATCAGTCATCTTCAAATAAATGGCACTAGCTTCCGACCTGGTCTTGTCGCTAAATATCGAACGTGCAAAAATCTAAAATATGGAATCATTCAAGCCATTATAGCGACAAACGAAGATCCTCTTTTCATTATACAAACTTTGCTTATCGTTGAAAAAGTAACAGATATTTAAATAGTTATATGGTTGTACCGTCACAAGAATCTATTCGAGTGCCTTCCCATAGTATTGTCAGTAGAAAATCTTACAGTTTGTGGAACCTGTACGGCACAAATGAAAATTATTATATAAGTTTGAAGTATAACTATTGTAACTAACTTTGTTCAATGAATAAAATGATTACCTGCAAATGGCTTTTGTTTCGTTTATCGCAACACATTAAAGTTCCCATTTGTGGTGCTCTACTTAAATGCATGTAATCATAAATACTAATGCAATATTTTTTATTTCATGAAATTCTGTTCACATAGGCAGTAAGCTCCAACTCGGAATAAAGAGCCACGCCCAACAAACAATTTTAGCTGCAGATTAGCTTATGCAGCCAAAACTTGCCTTATGCAGCTAATTTTTGCCTGTATAAGCTAAGCTGCAGCTAAAATTGTTTGTTGGGCGGCTGCTTTAATGCCAACATTGGAGTTAATCAATGCGATTTACAGATCATCAAATATTAAAAATTTTACAGCTCATCCCAAAAAGGGTTAAAAGTTTAGGCTGGCGCACAATGGATAAGTTTGCGTTTTTTTTTTTAAGTTAACTCATGCATTATTCTAGAAAAAAAACACGAAAACTTGGCATCAAAGCAGCCGTGCATTCTAATTCGGAATTTAATCCGAGCATAATACGGGTTGCAGCTTATCGCCAAACAGTTTCAAACTTTTTTCATAAATTTAATCACTTTTTTTTACAATTTTAGATAACAAATTCAATGATGAATCATTGCAATATATCACCGATGATGACCTGACGAAGATTGGCATTATTGAAATGGGTCCAAGACTCATTATCAAATCGGTTATTTCGAAAGATTTGAGGAAATTCGTTACTAATCATTCGGCTGCTGGACCGTCTGGTTCCTACTCAAATAGACCTTCCAAAGAAACTAAAGAACCTGCTTGTGAACCTGCCCCACCCACGGTAAGTTTTAATAAATACACCAATGAAAATGGTACCTGGCAGTAAGTCACTTGTAAATTAATTCTCCTATTGAAAAAGTACGCCTCCTCTAGCAGTTATAGCTCTAAACTCATATCTTATGAACATGTTTTAA